AAAGAAAGAAAGAAAGAAAGAAAGAAAGAAAGAAAGAAAGAGCAAGCTTCGGAAAGCATTCTTTAATGTCATTGACAGCAAAATGTTGAAGCAGGTGAAGAACCGACCCGGCGGCTCCCTCGGCAGAACACTCGTGTGATCCATTGGAATCAGTGGGACACCCAGGATCGCAGTGTTAACCTGGTTGCGGTGTTTATTCTGGCAAGAAAGGCAAACCCCCTCCTTCCCCTTCAGGTTTCCGCGGCAGAAGAGAAGTATAGTTCGAAGGGAGCCGAGTAGATGGGAACTTACATTAAACACCCGAGGGAAGACGGCGGTATGGTCCGCCTCTGCTTCTCACTTGCCTGGAAAGCCCTTCCTGGGGTCGCCATAAGTCGGCTGCGACTTAACTGCACTTTCCACACACACACACACCAGAGGGAAATATGTTAAGCAGTATATTCTAGGTATACCGCAGTTAGGCCAACATTTCGCCTAAAGATGTGGGACACTATTTCTTAAAAAAAAAAAAAAACCAAAACCAGACGTCTGTAATTTTATATTGCCTGTCTGGTTTTTTATTACTTGGGTTTGTTGGGACTTTTCAATGAGCCGCCCTCACTCCAGTGCATCAGGTCCAGCGATACACGGGTACCGGTGATCGGGCCTGGAGGCTGCAGTCGAGCTGACCTCTTCCTGTGCTCAACTTCCCTATTGAAATGCATGAGTCTGGAAGACAAACGGCTTCCGTCAGATCGTGCCCCCCTCCCCGTTTTCTTTTCTTGTTTTGTGGGGTGGAGAATTCTGGCTGATCTAGGGCTCAGTGGCCACAATCCAACACAACATTAAGCGCCCTTAAACCCACTGAAGTAATCGGAGGGAATTTAAGACTGTTTAACGCGGGCCACCTTTGTATTATACAATTGTAAGGCACGGTCGTTTGCATGTTTGTTCGAAACGTCCCCTGCACTGAAAGGGCTTTCCGCCCACGAAAACGGCCACAGAACACCGTCGCTCTAGATTCCAACCCGGGTCATACTCTCCCCGCCTCTTTTCTGGTTACTTCCAATCCTACCCTTGCTCTGACCTAAGTCTCATTAACTTCTTCGTCTGCCCGACTCCTTTTAGGAACAGGTTGCCACCCTCAGATGTGTGTGTGTGTTTTCAGGTGCCAGAATACATCCCCCCCCCGCGCCGAGCTCGCACTCAAAGCGGCCGCGAAGGCACACGTAAGGATATCGACTGTGCCGTGCATTCTCGCTGTGCAGCACAATCCTGGCGCGTGTCTACTCCGAAGCAAGCCCCACGACGTTCA